TCGAATGTTAACAATAAAGAATTTAAGATCCATAAATTTATCTCGTGTCACAGCAAGTTTGTGACCTATTTACTAGAATGTCCCTGTGGTCTCCAATATGCTGGGAGGACTACCAGGGAGTTAAGGAAAAGACTGGAGGAACACATTAATAATATTAAAAAAGGATTCCTTAAACACAGCTTATCAAGACACTTTAGGTTGCATCATAACCGAGACCCTTAGGCTGGGTTCACACCTAGGCGTACGGAATATGCGCGTTTGCCACGCCTTTTTACCACAATTTGGGTTAAAAGAGGGCGTTTCCGAGGGCTATACCGCTGTATCCTAATGGATACGCGCGACAGATACGCCCCAAAGAAGCTCCTGTACTTCTTTGGTTGTAGGGCGTTTTACAGCGTGTTCCTACGCTCTAGGCAATTATTGGTTTTGTTGAAACACGCTGTAAAATGCCCAGGTGTGAACCAGGCCTAAGGGTCTGATAGTGTCCATTGATAAAATTGAACCACACTGGAGAGGCTCACATCTCACCAGTCAAGTGTCCAAAAATTAATCCAAATGGATCTATTTATTGGACTCATTAACACCAAAAGGTCTCAATGTAGAATTTGATTTAAATTGCTTTTTAAGCAACAAATAAATCTATAGGCCCAATGACTAAATTCTTGATACACTCATTATTCAGTGTCCATCTCATATAGGTTATACAATTAGATCAATTTTCTATGTTATATCACACATTTTATAAAGAGCTATATCCATTGTATATCCATTTATATGTCATGTTATGCATCCTATATTATTTTCCTACTTGTTTATGTTTTATATAATATATGTATTATGATTATTTATCTTTTAGTGTGGCCAACTTGATGGCCTGGATATAACCTAAGAATATATATTTATAGATCACCGTTGGCTTAAGATATGCAATTCTAACAACTTTAAATTCCTGTGACTAATTTCCCCATCGAATATTTTCCTAGTAAACCTTTGTCTTTATCAGTGAATATGGCTTGTTCTACATCTAGGTGTCAGTTTGTTGTTTTATTAATATTAGACCATGTATGTACCAGTCTCATTATAATCGTTATTCTTAGTATTAACTTTAGTGCGGTTTTTATATTTTATTTTATTATATTTAATGTATAGTTCATGACATTGTTTGAATAGCCTGTTCCCTATACTCACAATAATTGGTGCTTCCCTCTCCTGAGATAAAAGGTCGACATTGAGATGGATTCAGCTACACCTTTGAGGACGAAACGCATCAGGCGGGGCTAGCTGACGTCAATCTTTTTATCTCGAGGAGACGGGAGTTTATCTGGATCAGTGCGGGCTGCTGTTTTTTTTTAGAAAGTGAGTGCTTTTATGTCCTTTTCCTTCAATAAATCTTTATACTGCAAATACAAGATTTTCTGTTTGTCTTCTATGCCCGGAACGTTGAAAAAATTTCCCCGTTGTGTGAGACCCTAAAAAAACGGAGGAAAGGGGAGTTTCTTCATCACCAACGTTTTCTCAATGGTGTGATCCCCTCACAGTTAGAGACTATCGCTTCCTGGAGATCAGTGGGATCCACACAAGATCTGAAAACTTTGACTGCTCTTTTGATCTGCAAAACGACGCAGTACAACGGATTTGGCTATTAACTAATGTCAGGAGTGTACAGTCTTCTTAGCCGATTTTTTGAGGTTATTCGTTAACACTGTTTTCACCAAATAATGTTATAGGAGAGCACAGTCGTTGTAAGGATATTTAGCAACACCGTTTTCACTAATTCACAGTATTACAAGTCCAACAGCTTTGTGCAACAATTTACCTTGTCCACCTAGAAACATAGCTTCACATTCATATGTTGTCTTACAAACTTTCACAGTTACACTTTTAGCAGTTTCATTCGAAACATTTCGTTTTGTCACTTTGTATTTGATTTCTCCACTTGAGTTTACCGTTAAGTGTTTCTTTACCAGTAGGTAATATACGTCATTTGTATAACAGTTTATATTACACTGAGGAGGTTATCTAGCGCTACACAACAGTTTTACATCTACTAGGGTTCATCAACCGTTTGTCGGGCGGCTCTTTAACCATAGATCCTCAGTTCATCCTTATAGTCTCCTATCCAGTTCGGATTGGCTTATCACTAAAATGGTTCAGTTGCCTGACCCTGCCTACTATTGGTGAAGTTCATGCTCTGTGGCATAGCGTTTATACAGTTAAAAGCTGTGACATCTTTTGAAAACGGTTCTCTGTAATACCCATCTATTACAGTTGATCTGTGTGCAACCTATCTGAAGAATTGCACTCAGGGGCAAGAACTCTCATATAAAGACCACCCCTGTGAGAAACCCAAACATTTTTTTGTTGTTATTGGAAAGCTTTACTAGACAAATCGTATAATGGCTCACTATAGGGATCAGAACTCTCTCAATATAGATCATCCCTTCTTACTCAACTGTTTGCAACTTAAAGAAGATTTGTGCCCAGAAGCCAGGACTCTCTTTTAAGATCACTCCTGTGAACTATAGCTAGCTACTCTCGCCTGTTTATTGCAGTTAAAGACTCTCCTATGTCCCAGATAAGTGGGTTTTTAAATAATAATACTCAGCCCAAAGTTTCTTCCAAATATTTTTCCCCCCTCTTTTTGGGAGTAAGAACTCTATTAGATCACTTCCAGAAGTTATTGATCTGGCAGTCTGTACTCTTAAAGGGGTATATACAAATAATTTGATGTTGTGTTAGATAGGATTATAGGATTATAGGATAAGTATCCATATTTGCTGCTTCGACTGAGGCAGGTGTATATAGTTCATCTGGACTACATGCAAGACTGTCTCGGTACAGACAGAGAGTTGGCAGCACTCACCTGGACTTTACATTGCGATCCACACAAAGGGGGTTATACGTTGCAAATAGTTCCCTAGTCATGGATGGACTCTAATATAGTACTGCTAATAGTGAGAGCAGAGTTTCACTCCTTGGGGAGTCGGGCTCTGTCTTTTATGTACATTTAGGATGTGCATATTGTGGCAGCAGGCAAAGGAAAATGTCTGGGTCTAGCCAGGATGACAGAGTTATATGCCCTAGATTTAGATGATGTACTCTAGGATGTCCTCTAGGGGGAAGTGTTGAAGACTTGGAGGTAACAAGCCCGGCTGAAGCAAGCTGGCTTGTTAGGGCCTCTGCAAGATCTCCCAGCATCCTAGAGGAATCAGCTCCACCCTGGAATCAATCTGTGTGTCTGACAAACTAGGGAGTGTGGTGTGTGGTGAAAAGCAGCCTGTGTGGCAATAGACAAGCCTGTGTGGCAAGGGGACAAGAAAAAGCCTGTGTGGCAAGCGTGTTGGATACAGCCTGTGTGGGAAAGGCTTTTGTTAAACAGACAACCTGTAGTTGGTGAGACTTTGAAAATGTTATTTTGCTAAAGGAAAAAGCTGAACTTGTGTTAGTATGTTGGGGAACCCCCTATGAGGGAAAAACTTATGAACTTTTTAAATAAAAGTGGGCAGGAAGCCCTAAAAAGAAGTTGTTTGCAAGTGGAAGTGTCCTTACTGCACTACCATTTGAAGATAATTCTCACAATATATACTTAATGAAAAGTATAAGGTAATTGTTATTTGTGCAGCAATCTCTTTCTTCTCATTACAGGGCCGACATGAGAATCTGATCAGCTGCTTTAGGAATGTGTTTATTAGGATAGAAATGTATTCTATAGGATAAGATAGATTACCCTAGATCAGGGGTAGGCAACCTTGGCTCTCCATCTGTGCTGAAACTACAAATCCCATCATGTTTCTGCCTCTGGGAGTCATGCCTGTCGCTTGCAATGCCTCATAGGATTTGTAGTTTCAGCACAGCTGGAGAGCCAAGGTTTCCTACCCCTGACCTAGATAGAAGTAGGGCTCTACTTCACATGTACAATTATTGATGCAGATTTAGTGTGTGCTATCGAATTGTAACTTTATATCACAGATAGATAGATAGTAAGGCACTACTATTTAATTGTTGTACTTTTGATATTGATCTATTTTCGTGTGGAATGCCACACATGATAAACTTGTTTAATCTTTCCCTTTTCTTTACCTATCCAATTTTAGGCAGGACATCTGCTTTCAGGAGTGAGTGCGTATTATTGTGTACACTCCAGGATATAGTGTTCCAAGTACACACACTGCCCGCTCAACATTGCAATCATCTGTAAGCCCTCCCCTCAGCAGGGCAGAACAACCGATGAGAGACTATTATGAGTGTGTATGTCTCCTTAGCCAATCACTAGGAGTGTTGCATGCTGGGAGAGGAGCTTAATACTTGGGGTGTACCATGTGAGATAAATACTTGGGGTGGACCATGTGAGCTCTCTCTTCCCTACCCCGGGCCCTGCCTGGGGGGGGGGGCCTCTGATAGGGTCAGTTTTACGCGCCTGCCTGGGGGGGGGGGCTCTGATATGGCTAGGTCTGAAGCCTGGGGACTAGCCGGGTGCTCACACTGAAGGCTGAGTCTGGGGGCCCAGTGGCTACTACTGATACCAAGGATGAAGATGACCAAATACTTCTGGTTTAAATACTGCTCAGCCAGGTGCTCTTCACACAGATTGCCATGTCTGGCTTAAAGGTTCTAGTTTGTGATGGCAGCAGTTGCATCCTATTGCTTAAAGTAGTTTACACCAGCCTAGATAATCCTGACCCCAACCTCTCTCCCTGAAGTAAAGGGGGGAACTTCAATAAAGTTCCTCAGCATCATACCGGCAGTCTGGACCTCGTTTTTTGGGTCACCATGGAGGGTGGGAAGTGCTTTTGCGGCAGCCATGCACCGGTTTCTCTAGACTGGCTATAATGGATGACCCACCTTTTCTCTGTGGCTCCTTAGGGGGTGCGCTACACATATATTCAGAAATGTAATAAACAATGTTAAGTAGGTTTGGTCAGCAAGTCAACATATTATCACTGTTAACAGTGGTATGATCTACCAGACTATACTATGGCTCTTAAAAACTGACATTAGTATTACATTTGGAAGTGAATACTGAAACTTACCAATAATGGAAGCCAACACAGGCTAGCAATGATCATGATCCCGACAAGCTGGACCATCATTTCTACTTCACTATCTCTTCTTCTCTGAACAGACTCACGGTCATGATAAACTCTGCAGAGTGTCACTACACTGATAGTGTTGAGGATGAAAGAAAGACAGACCGCAAATATGCCTGTCAGTGAGAAGATTAATCCAAATGCTTTATTCTTTGAATCTTGCAGCAGAGTTAGAAAACACCAGGATTTAGGAAATTGTAATGTATATTTTCCAATGCCCATAATTGGCAGTAAAGCCAACAAGAAAGCAAAACTCCAAACAATGATCACAATGCCCCAAGCTCTTTTTTTTGAAACATTGGCAGAACGAGAAAAAGGTCTGTTTATACCAAAGAAGCGTTCAGCAGCCATGGAGGCACCAAGAAGGAGAGGGCATAGTCCATAAAAGACCATAGAAAGTCCAAAAAAAGTACAAAGATGACAGTTTTCATCAAACACTTGCCAGTCAAAATGGGTAATATGGTAAGACACCACAATACTACCAGTTACTAATAGTCCCATGAAATCAGTTACCACCAGTCCAAGAACAAATATTAAGAAAGAGGACCGTGAGCGACTTTGAGTTTTTCTTGATGCATTAGCTAAAACACAAAAAGCAAATAGATTTGAGCCAAGGCCAATTATGGAAAAAATGGTGGAGAACCACAACGAGGTTATGGGTTTTTGACCAGCTGATGAAGTTGTCATATTAATATAGCGGAAACAGGATCCTACAGTTGAGAACACATTTTCTATTTCCATGGCAGGGCATAGATTATCTTCAGATTCATTTACAAGGCACATACTAGGATCCTTCGGCAGTGTGATTACAGTGTGGACTTATTAATATATAGATATACAGAACCTAAGATCCCAGTATCTTTTGTTGAAGTTTTGAGAGGCTTGACATTTTGTTCTTTAAAAATGTTCACGCATTTTCCAGCAACTGTACTAATAGCGCAACAGTCGTTTTTTTCAAATATAGCCTATGGATAGTACTGATATTTTTCTTAATTATCACATATTCTTTTAGAAGAGATCTCCTCATTTATGTTGGCTGCACATAAAAAAGCAGAAGAATTGGCAGTGCAAATAATTTGGATTTGTTTGCAGATACACACATTTATAATTTGAAACCTTTGCAGATGTAATATATTTGGGAATACCAGCTGGAGAATGTATGCACCCTAAGCAGCAGTCAATGCCAATCAAAAAAAAGAATGTTGGCTCTTGAGGTATGAAAGGATATAAAATATGTATAGTTTTGCCCCTATACGGTAGTAAGGCCACTTTTAAAATGGGGCACAGCTTTGAGAACCATAATGTAAGAAGGACATATGAGATTTGGTTACAGTTCAGAGGTCACCAACTACATTAACAAAAGGAATAGGAGATTTGATAGACAATGAAAGTTTGGAAAAAGTGTGCTTATTCAGTTTTCATGACAATATAACTTTATGCCTTGTTCACACAGACTTCAATTTATATAAGAGCAGTATATACAGTAAGCTATACCTTTGCAATATATGCAAAGGTGCTGCAAGGTACAGTGTAGCTGTGGTAGGGCGCCCAATCACACTTTAGATTTTGTGTTTTTACTATGTAAAGCCCTTCTATATGAACCCTTTGAAGCTAGTTATAAATGTATTTGTGTGGATGCCATATTTGTTTTCCTGGATTGGTGTGGGGACACACGGGGGGGGGGGGGGGGCGTTTGCGTTGTGTTTGGGGG